TAAGCTACAGACTATCCCCAAAGCTTCTCCTTATAAGCAGGAAGCAGACCACATCCCAAAGGCAGCTACTCAGTGGCTTATGGTAGATTCCACCATGGAGTTGATTGCCAATCTCATCATGGGGAATAACTACCACCAGCTGCCCAGCCATTCAACCAGGGCCAGCCAAGTTGACACACAAACTGAACTATCACAATAATAAATTTTGGATAATATTGGGAAGGACGAAAACTCAGAACTCTTAACTGTGCTCATGAGGAATTTGTACGTAGACCAAGAAGCAGTTGTTGAAATAGAACAAGGGAATACTGCACAGTTTAATATTAGGATAAGTGTGCATCAAGATTGTATCCTTTAACAATACTTATTCAATGTGCATGCTGAGCAAATATTCTGAGAAATTGGACTATATGAGTAATATTGCGGCATCAGAATTGGAAGAACACTCATTAACAATCTGTGATATGCAGATGACACAAACTTCCATGAAGATTCCATGATGACAGTGAAAGAACTTAACTGATGATGAACAAAGCCTTCAGTAGGGATTGATTGTACCTCAACATAAAGAGAACAAAAATCCACAACTGGATCAATAAACAACATCACAATAAATGGAGGAAAGATTGAATTTGTCAGGGATTTCATTTTACTTGGATCCATAATGAACAACCACAGAAGCAGCAGTCAAGAAATCACATGATGTATTTACACTGGGCAGATCTACTGTAAAAGGCCTCTTTAAGTATTAAAGAGCAAAGATGTCACTTTGAAGACTAAGGTGCACCTGACCCAAGCCATGGTCTTTTCAGTCATCTCATATGCATATGAAGGCTGAATAATGAAAAACCAAGAAAGAAGAATAGATACATTTGAATTGTGGTGTTGACAAAGAATACCAAAAATACTATGGACTACCAGGATGAACAAATCTGCCTTGGAGGAAGTACAGCTGGAAAACTCCTTAGAAGAAAGTTTGGCCAGATTTTGTCTAAAGTACTTTAGTCATGCTGTCAGAAGAGACCAGTCCTTAGTGAAGCATATGATGCTTGGTAAAGTAGGGGGTAGGCAAAAATAGAAGACCCTCAAAGAGATGGATTGACACAGTTGCTGCAAGGATGGGCTCAAGCATAGCAATAATTATGAGGATGGTGCAGGACTGGCACTGTTTTGTTCTGCTGTACATAGGATTGCTGTGAGTTGGACCTGGCTTGATGGCACATAACAACAACATATTATGGCCTTGGCACCCTGAAGCTATAGCAAGGACATCTAGATTGACTTCAGAACTACTTTCTTTTACTTTATTTTTTGTTATTGGTCTTTTGAAGCTACACTTCATAGGTAATGTGTGATTCTTCACAATTTTAAGGCCACCCAGGAGTGTGCATGCTAAAAAAAAGTGCCTTTAAGGAGTTGTAGGTGGACATTGTTCTGTATGAAGTGAAGTTTTTATACATAAAAACCAGCAGCATTTACTAGATATGGCTATATATATATGTGTGTGTGTGTGTGTGTGTGTGTGTGTGTGTGTCACTTTGAAGGAGCTCTGGTAGCATAGTGCCTAAGGCACTTGACTGATCACCAGAAGGCTGG